GAAGAAAGCACGAATGCCGAGGTACTTCCAGGCTGACAAAATTAGACGAAATCATAAGCATTCGGTTGGCTGATTCGTGCCGATACCAAGTGTCTGATGACCCTGAACTAATACTATCATCTACATCACTTTGCATTCTAGTGGTTTTGTTTTTTTCTAATGCTTTAAAAACTAAGATTAAAGAATTTTTCTTAAATGTTCTTGATTACCTGCTTGTTTTTACCAATAACTATGATAAAAAATGGTAATCTTGTACCCATCCAAATCATGCCAAACCAGCTGAGACACATGAGTCTAGGCAACTTGTGTATGGTGATACTACTGCAATCCAATGGCACCAATATTGCTATAAGTCAACAATTTTGCTGCATGTAAAGTTTGAGTAGATAATCTTGCGTTAGTGATTCAATCGGCAAATAGGAACCGAAAAACTGTCCCGTTTCTTCCAAAATGGTACCGAAAACTGATGGTGATATTAGGCAATTGCGAGTTTCAGTTAACCTAACTGTCAAGAAATGTTCGGTGTGCTTATGGATGCATACAGTTGCTTTCGTTTGATAGACAAAGCAGGATACAAGAAATACATAGTTATGCACAAATATCTCCTAATGTCCTCACGAGAAGACACAAAACTCTTTCACATAAAACCCGCACATTTTCGAAAGTACTCGCAAACCTTTCAATTTTGAAAGGGCATTGGATTTACTGTACTGTTTGCAAAGTAAGTTGTAGTAATACACTATTGTGCACGTTCCTGTTGATACACTCTAGAATGGAGCCTGCGAGGGTTCGAGTTTTGTATAGTCTCAGACGGACTGTCTCACTTGAGGATATTTAGTTCATTCGATCAAATGCGTACTCAAATATTTGATTTGTTGTCCGGATATTTACTCTCGTATTGATTCAGTCGCAGTTTCAGCAATTCTTGCAACCAGATGTCTTGCGTTCAGCTGGGTTAGCATTGCCTGAAGATAGCCTGAATACACTGGCATTATTCGTTAAATTTGACAGGGGTCCTGTTTGTAGTAGACAAAACATTCAGCACTAAAAAATTGCTAAAGAAAAGAAATCTATCAAAGTATGTTAGGACTTGAGAGATATTAAGGCATTTGAGAAACAAATGAATGTTGGTGACCTTGTGACTCGCAAGATGCAGACCTAACGTTTGTGTATTTTTTTTTAAGTAAATTTATAGTATCTCTGAGCTTTGGGGGTAGTATAGTGCTGTCAAAGACCTAATATTACATATCGTGCAATTTGTATTTTGGAAGTTTCAAGACCGTTATGTTTAAGGCTTAAGACGTTACAGACTTCTCTACAGATGTGGTAACACCAAGCACGAATAGGTCTACCAGAATAAGTGCCTTCAGTTTTGATGTCACTTAGTTTTTTGCGATTGTGATAGTGTGAATAGAGTTGGTAATTTTCAATTGAGATACCTTCCTATTACTGAGGCTAGTCTATGCCCAAAAGCCAGCAAGTAGTGTGCAGCTGCATCATCCTTGTTTTGGGTTATCAGTAGCGCAATTTTTATTGCCCGTCTAACTCAAAGCTTCTTTCACACTACCCGCACTGCTGAAGATTCCTAACAAGCATAAAACAGCTGTGCAGAAGTAAATTCCTCAACTGTTCGAAAGCTAATTTGGCCGTTGGTTTACAATTTTGAAACGGCTCTCATGAGAAAATGCCAAGTAATATTCTTTACAAAATTCTGTAAAGTTGGGTGGACTATAACATCACAAGTAGAGTGCTCTTTCATCAACACCCTAACTTGCGTGCGAAAAACCGAACAGTGATAAAAGTTAGGGTGAACAGCCTTCACTTTAGTAAGCAGCGGACAGCATATTAAAAGTCGAATTGAAAGGCGTCATTAAAAGGTTCAGTGTTCATTCAATCACTGATAACGAAATCACCTCCTCATTCCGTTGACACGCGACCGTGTGCTTAGCGGTACATGCTGTAAACAAAGGAGTTTATTAATTTACGCTGAGAGAAGCGTGTTCTTCCTTCGTCAGCATGGGTTAGGAGGGGTTAGTTTTGCTGAAAACAATGCTAGCGTACAATTATTAGGAACGGGCATTTATTTTTTCATTTTTTTGCATCACCTGAATACACGTTATAACGGTGGGCTGTCTTGAGTACGTTCATTTGAAATCAGATGCATTAATCCCAACCAAGAAGACACCAAATTTTTGTGATTGGTCACTGCATCACATACAAAGAGAGTAAGTTGTGGCAAACCAACAGATTACGTTATCTACCTGACGATCTCTTGGTACCCTCTCAAAAATAATTTACGTAGTAACACAGTGCGAGTACCTGCTCCTAAAAAACAGAAAAAAATCTTGTGGCAACCGGTAGGAATCCGTCTTTGTCAAAAAAGTTTGAATCACCTTTCACTTGAATCGTGAAACGATAGGCAAATCCCCTTTTCTCCAGCCAAAACAAGTGCTCGCCGTTTAAAGCCGTTTTGAGTTATTTAGTAAAATTTCCTTGTTTTCGACTACCGTTTAGTTCGTTTCCGCAAAAAATCGGACAAATTTTCAATCACCATCATGATTGATACGTCAGGTAAAAATGTTTGTAACAAAGCTCGCAAAATAATCATTTATTCTAAATATCTGCTGAGGTTATGTGACGTCTGGGGGAGAGGGGGGTAACCACGCTTTTTACCCTAGCGTAAAAAACAATTTACTCTAACCTCAGATGTACCAAAATTTGGGTCGATATGCACTCCTGTTGACAGACTTTTATTGCTGTTTGACTAATGTTCAAATGAGGACTCAATGAAGAGCCATGGGGCAAGAGGACTACTATCTTCATATCGACTGATACATGAATATAAGCCTAAAACAACTAATGTCGTAGCAATATATTTACAGCCCCGCATGAAAAATGAGTTTTCAACCAGACTTACCAATTCATTGTGATATCGCACTAATTAAACTGTTAGTGTTTATTTACTAAAGTAAGTCCACCCTAACTACCTGTCTTGTGATTCATGCCATTTTATTATCCTGCTTAAATCAACGGTACACTTACGGAGATTTCCACCAATAGAATTGAAAGTCTCTATAAGAAATTCCATAGACTTTTTACCAGAAGTACTATAATGGTACAACTTCCGGTCAAAATTGCTTGCACAGACGTCTTTTGGTAATTTATACTCGGAACAATTTGATCTCAGAACTAGAGCTCGGAATGCATGGAAAATATTTCCGTGTTTTCGCGCCTTACAACTGTCTGAATTGGCAACACATGTTTGGTTAGATACTTTTATCCATTATCTATGTGTTTTTATGCTTGAAATCATAGCATCTCATTGCTAAGCGTCTTCAAGATGGCCAGTAGAGCAAAAGGGAACATATGCTGTATTTCTTATCAATTCGAACAAGGTTCTAGTTTTGGGCCAGTTTCACACCAAAACTTTCACGTCGTGCAACAAAACTCACAGGATCTCCGTATTTCAACAATATATACCTTCGAATTTATTGTATTCATGCCGGAACGTGCCCCACCAGAGTAAGGTTCAAACTCTGTACGTAGAACTTCAAATTGCGGCAATGATTGTAGTCCAGATATCAACCAGATTTTGACAAAAGGCTGATAGGAAGATGCACCCAGGGTAAGCTCTGGAGGAAGATGCCGATAACCCTGAAAGATGAATTACAAAAACGAGAGAAAAATTGCTTGTGCCAGGTTTGTCAGTCTTTAAACCAACCCAGTAAACAATAAAGTACTTTCAAATCAAAAAGAACCTTCCATATTGATGACTTTACCTCTTCGATTCAAAAGTGAGACACATAGCAATACGTATTTACTTCTTACTAGTCACGTTCCATACGATCATCCACAGCCTTAACTCACAAAATATAGCGCCTCAGACATTATATGTAAAAGATCCCTGTAGAGGAAAGGAAGAGCTGAGTAATTCAATCGTACTGAATTATCATGCGATGTACAGTTGCACAAATATATTAGTTGGACCTACATGTGACGGACACGATATCAAACTGTTAGCTACAGATTAGCTGGGACGCATTAAAAATGTGCTAGAGGAAGTGAAGTTTATAATGCTTCGTGCTGTGAGCTAAACTGCCCTACAACTGGGTGCGTTGCTAACCAGTGAGGAGGCGTCTTGCGTCACAAAAGTGACAAGCATATGGACACGGAAACGCGAGATACATAAGCAAAGGGAGCATTCTTATAGACAGAACACAGATAACTGCGGATAACGAGTCGCCTAAACGCGGACAGACATCATGCGTTTCTTTCAGACACAATCAGCACATGAGGAGTAATTGGATATACAAAGCAATAATCTATGGGAACTAAAGTAATTGATTTGGGCGCTTGTCATTTTTTGTACTTAAAGGGCCACTAAAGACGTGAGGCATATAGAATTTCTGATCAGTCAAACTAGGCGGCCAAGCAATTGATCAAACCATTAAAAAGTTGAGCATGTCCATCCTGAAAGAATCCAATTTAACGAATAAATTCATGAACAAGCTTTTGGTGGAACAAACTGACATGTGCTGCAAAAGCAACAATAAAACTTGAATCCAAGTTCATCAACAGAATCAAAGTTTCACCATGCAGCAATATGAAAACAAAAACGACACCGGCAAAAAATATTCTGCTTGGAGCAGAAGAGACTCACAGTACGTATTCTATTAGTTTTTGAGAAGTTCTTAAAGCGGATAAATAATGGGATTTTGTTGCAAACTTTTTGTCGTCATGTAGTGCTACTTTTGTATGATATAATCCCCGTCTAATTTTCGTAACATGGAGAGAATTAAATGTGGTTCTGGGAAATAGTTCCTAAATCGAGGTACAAATATATGAATGCTTTATTCGGCTGACCCTTGCACAGCCCCATTTTCTCTTAGATGCAAAGAGTTATTGAAAATAAAGAACTTTTCTGTTTTCTCCCATGCGCTTTCTTATATACCAGTGAAAATTTTCACTCACTTTTAACGTGCTTGTTAAATCCTGCCTTGAGCATGTTTATGCACAACACAGTCTTGAGATCCACATCAAAACATTATCAGACAACTGAGAGATACCAAAATGTGGGACGTTTCCCAACAGCACAATGTTTGAAGCTGGAGACTTTATAGACATCAACTGTTACGTCAGTTAGCAATTAACCTCACACTTCCACCATCACGATAATAGAAGCAAATGGAATTCACCATCTGGTTGTACCAAGGGGATGATTCTCGTATAAGTGAGTTACGCAGCCTGCGAGCACAGGTTTTCCTAAGCTAAACGATAAAATTCTAGGCCCATGATGTGATCCCATGGTGCTCTATGAGGATTGATGATTAATTAGACAGATTATTCTCACCATTCATCAGAAGTATTGGTGTATTGGCATCTAAGGCTCCTACAGAAAACTCTTCCGATGATGGCAGTGATATTTGAGTAAAAAACGCTCCCAAGTATGTTGTTCGCCCAACCTCCTGTGGTGTACCGGCATCAACTGTCCAAAACCGAATGACATATTGTGTGATGGGCGAGCCACCATTTTTCGTCAGTAGGCAGCTGATTAGACTAAAACCCACAAATGGGACATATTATTTTTCTCGTATTGTGCTGGAAATATTTTACATTGAGTGAGTAGCATTGATGGGCTGCAAATATTGCAGTGGCTGGCAGTTGACCGGAGTTTATGTTCATTGTTCGTAGGTCACGCTTCAGAAGATACAGCTTAACCACCTTCATACTGATGGATGCTTTGTTGGTCAATATAAATGTGAGCGGGATATTCGATGAAACTATTTGTGCTTGATGGCACGCCTTCGTCGTTCAGGCCGATGTTCTCTAGAATAGAAGGCTTAACCGTCCCGAATAGTGTAGAGTCCCCTTAGAACTGAGAAGATATCGGTAGACACCAGCCTGTCTAGCATTTGATGCTCGGATCAACTTTCAGCACAAACGGATATTCAGGTAGTCTTCACATAATACACGTTAACTTAATCCAATATATCTTTTCAGAGACCTGCCCCAAAATCGCGTGAAATTTTGTGAACAAATGATCAATCTTTACAGTGATTTGAAGCTTAAGTGGCTTGAGATTTTGAACTTCACAGTACTTGTGTTACCCTGCCAACAGAATGAGTGTTGGTTACGTGAAAATAACGCTGGTGACAAAAACTAACGCGGAACAGCAACAACTAAAGTTAAAGTGTAGTAGGGGAACTAAAAATAGATTGAGCGCAAAAGAATTTCATTAATTTCAGATAATATAAACTACAGAAGCGTTGGATACGCAGAACTCGTCAACTTAGGCGCGCTATCCTTGGGTAATTCATATGTATAAACTTAGGAATATCTTACTGCTCAACATATAAAGCCGCATCTTTAATCTGCATGCCATAAATGATCATCGTGACTTACGACTTGGTAAACTTGATAAGAATGTTTCCCACGTTTTCTGTAGAGTACAATAAAATGAACGCCGTCCGATTGCCAGGAGGAATGACAACTAAGACGTGAAACTGAAACAGAAAATACCATGACCAAGAGTTGGAGTTCTAAGCAAACGTCACCAGCACACCAATACTCATATCTACGTATGCCTGATAACAATATGTTTATATATACAAGTAATCGGTTTCAGGTTTGAAAATGAAATGGTAAATTATGGAGCGAAATAATTAAAAAAAATCCTCTAGAATCTGCAATTCGACATTAAAAAGACGTCGTCGAACGTTATAGCAGACGACTTTTTGCAAATATTGGCTGAGATTACGTGGGACTACCTAGAATTCGGGGACTGCTAGTTACATCCATTCCTACCGTCCAAAGTAGGTCCATCTATACAAAAAAACTACTTACACATTTTTAGGTCCGCTAAGTAGTATAAATATAAATTTGCACGCATTTTCTCAAAAGAGCTATTCTTTCTCATTTGGTAAAAATCTTTCCTAAGTTCAACCTATATTTTGCAACTGCTCCCGATGCCTCTCTACTTGAGGGGCTATCTGAATACATCTATTATTATGGATTTTATGAGAAAAAACCGTAGTAAAAGTGAGTTCTTATTAATCTTACCAAATCCGAGGGTTTCTTAAATGGCAAATACGCCATCAGGAATAATGCTAAGCAGAAAAAACGCTGTGACGAAATAAGTTTGAAAACTGTTTAGTTTCATGACTCTTTCTGACCAATTGATCAGATGATTCTACTTTGTATGCTTTGTGCACGATCTTGCAGTGGTATTCAGTGGAGCATTTACCTCTTTGTTACTGCTGTATTGAATTTTCCGGGACATCCACAAGACACCTTGCACAGTACAAAAATAAAGCGCGTTTTTGGGTTATCGTACATGGAAATACCATACGGACATCGTCAACAGACAAAAATAAAGCGGGAATTGTGTAGCAACAGTAGCAGACAGTGATGTACTTCTCAGTAGTCCACACAAATAACATATTTACTTTAAACTTGTCTGGTATACTGTTCAGCACGGGATTTCAGATTCTCGCATCTATGGCTTCTATTTGCTATCTAATATCCAACAACACAGTCTGACGTGAGACTATGGCGAATTTCGAACAACGCTCTGTTGAGATTGATTTTGGTCAAGTTTACGCTAGAATCCACTAATTCAGATAAAGTGTTCACCGACTGTGTTGCTGACATTAGGGCACTTACATGATACTTGGTGTTAAATCTAATGCAATCCAAGAATAATCCGATTTAGGTGATTTACGTCGATTCACACTAACGAAAATAAGTGCCCGGACAGATGTTGAACGTGTCGGATGGCAGAAAAGTGGAAACAAGGACTGGCGCATTTGAGAGTCTTGCGCTTGATTTTGACGGTTGGTTTCCTTTTAGTTCGGCTTTATATGAAGCAATTTGCGGGTATAAACGTACCAAGATCTATTTCCCGAATGAATTGTAGCGCACATTTGCTGAGCGTTTCGTTTTCATTACTTCATGTATCGCTGTGTGATTAGTTCTGAGAAAAGTGATGATTTTTTTACTGCCAAGTTTCTTCAGGTGTTGTGGGAAATAAAGCTCTTTTATTTTCGTAGCGAAGGACAACAGACATGCATTTGTGGCTTAAATAATTTATTCGTTCCACTCAACAGAGTCGTTCGCTGTGAAGAAAACGTGCACACCTGGGACATGCTAGTTTATCTCATTCGTTTTTAATGTGCATCTTGTTTAGACCATGATTCTTCCGGTGATATTTATAATACTTAAAATTCTGTAGTTTCGGTCTGTGTCTACCGGAAAACTACACTTGTATCTTGTTTCACAGAAATGTTGATTGCAATTCTGGGGTGACATTACGGCAGGACGGTGAATATTGAAGTCCGTCAAAAATTTGCGAATATGAAGGTGCAATTTAACAGTGGCAATGATCATTATAAAGCAACCATGTAGCCTTCTTTAGTTTTCGGTGGTACACTGCGATTCATTACTATAAATAGAAACCTTGATAAGCAATTTCTCAATAATTACCTCTTTTTAGGTTGATGAGTTTGTCTATAAACTTGACATTGTATAGTCTTACAGTAAGTGGGATGAAGTGTTGTTTTTCTGTGTTTTCACTAGATTAGTCTATTATCGCACTAACTAAATGGGTTTACACCCATCACAATTCACGCAATTTATTATAGTTATGTCAAGCAGTCCCAGTGACACTAATCTGTTTTATAACTCGATTACACGGTGACTGGATGGCTCCGACAGTTTGACGGCTCACAATCCACTAATGATGGTTTAGCAATGAGAAATGCCTCCTTCGATTCACGGGGTATTGGTTTATGTTGACGACAAATTTAATTAGGACGGGGTTGAAAATGACAATGACGAAAACGGAAGATGGGCTGAAGCAACAATATTATGTATGAGTATACGAGAGAAGGAAGCCAAGCTGTTGCTCCTCGTATATTGCCACACTGCTGGAGCACGTTGCTGCACAACAGGAAAAAAGCTGAATATATCTGTCAGCCGGTAACAAGTAACAAGCGTAAAGGAACCTTTATCTTTCGCATCGTGCCCAGCAGAGCAAAAATTTACCGGAGAACATATACGTACCATATTCTTCTCCAAATGGATTGCAAGTTGGTTCGGAAAAGCTCCATTCGACGCCTTCTCCACGAATGCACTCAAATTCCACTGACCCATATACGGTTGACTTGCAGATAGCCTTTAATGGGTGGTTCAAATTTAGACAAGAAACGTACACTTTCTAGAAAACGTCATTTAAAATATTTTAAAACATCTTAAGCGCATAATGTCATAATAAACAACCTACCAACATTTGAGTGCAAAGAGTGTAAGTCAATGACGTACCCTATAGACTAAGTACAACGTGGCAAAAAACAGACTTAGGTAACTCTCCATTTTGAAGCTCAAATAAAGGAATATTTTCTCAGACATTCTTCTGTCAAATGCTCACCAGGACAACCGGTGAACAGCGCTCTGGTTCCTTCTTTTCTAATCTCATTGTGCGTAACGTTATTCCTCGATTTGTTGTTTCTGTTTTGTGCCTGCAATGCCTTTCTTGTTTTGAGCTGAATGCAAACCACTCATTGAACCTCATGTTTTAATTGACACTTAGGTTCAACTATCATGTGGCGAACTTCCTTTCAGTCTTTGGGACCCCGCTTGAAAGTGACAGTTCTGTAACTGGGGCATTGAAATCGGAGAATTTCTGTGTTTGGGGTTTGTACAAGTTCATCTTATTGGTGTATTCATAGTACCGTACTTTTCGACTTTTGGTGTTAGGCGCGTAACGCAACGTGGCCTAACTAATTGCTGGAAATATTCAATAGTCCTCAAACATTACAGAACTGGACGAATTGGAATTTGACAAACCGATCTCTTACTATTCTTCATATACTAGGCTGAAACGAGCCATTGTATGGGTCGTGGGATTTAAATTGTACCTTTGCGCAAATTCAAACAAAGAAGTCAAGGTTGTGCCCACAAATAGCTTTGCGCGCCCTGATGAAAAAAGAGCAGCAGGATATTCGCTACTGCAATGTGTACAACGACGCATTACTTCAGATACCTAATTCTATCAACGATGAAACAATGAATTTGAAGCCAGCCAGCACGCCATGTAAACTTTTTCCAATTCATTTTGAAGGACTGATACATGTCGATGAAAAGCTGCCAAACACTGGTTTGTCCCGACACCAGAGACATCTTGTTATACTCTCTAGTTGATATTCCGTGACACATTGCTCGATTAGACGCTGAAGTGGGTCAGAAATACATATGGGGACGTCTAGCTGTTGTGCGTCAAAATGTTTGGGTTTCCAAAGGAGGAGTCGCGGTAACAAGACTTTTACACGGATGTTTTTAATGTGGGGTAAGGTAGGTGAAGCCAGCGGAACAGTCGATGACACTCCTACCAGCCAGAAGAGTAGAAACTGGTTAGGCTTTTGACTCCATTGGTATGGATTATTCTGGTCTCTTTTTCATACGAGACGGACGGTAGTTAAGTAAGCGATGCCGATATATCTTCTCCCGTTTGAAGACTTGTATACTTTACACCAAGACAGCTCATTTCTTATCAGCTGACTAAAATCTTTGCCACCGCAGTTCACCAAAGTAAATGTACAGTGAACGATGAAGTAACATTCCCCAAACTGGAATTTGGAAAATTTCTGTAGTTACTAAGTCGAGGAAGCTAGTCCAGTGGATTGACCGGCACTTCTTTCTACCGCATTGCAGTCACCACGGAGATGTACGGGAACGTCACATACAATCTGTTTGCCAAGTGTTGATTGCGGCATCCTACAGACAAGTGCTGACTGAGGAAATTTTGTCTACTTTCCTCACTGACATGGAGTTTACTTTAAATAACCGTTCACCTGTCTACGATGATTCAGACTTATTAGATGTACTGGCCTCAAGTCACTTGTTATTAGCGTGGAGACAGCCTGATATATCAGGTGAAGCGACCAATATACGCACCGATATACCCAAAGTTTGAGACAGGGGCAAGTGTTGGTCGACATTTTTTGCCTTCGATTTTCGGAGTAATACATTCTACTTTTACGGTTACCAGACAACCAGCTGAAAAACCGTCAAGATCTTCTGGTTGGAGACTTTGTACTATTTAACGGCAAAAATCCAAGTCGCGGACATCAGGAGAAAGGCCATTTGTGAGAGGTAATAGTAAGGACTGTATCTGGTAAGGTTAAGAATGATGCACATTGCATCTGCCTGCTAGGAACAGTTTCCCGCCCCCTTTAGGCGCGTGCTCTTGATTGAGGGAGGGTTTATGGCTGGAATCACAACGCTGGCTAATCCCATTTTCGCACGATGTAGATTGATTTTGACCAGTGAAAGCCATGCTGGCTTTGGTGGGCGGATTTGATGTTATTTCATCGAGAAAGATGTGATTTACGGTCTTCTTGCGCGTGTACGTTTTGATTTAAACCTGGCCGTATGAATATAAGTTTTAGCAGCGATTCTTTACAGAGCGCTTATTTAAAAATCTTTTGTTCAACGAAATGACCATC